TTGTTCCCCTCTTCTGCCTTGGCCAGATCACGAGTCAACCGTAAAATCTCCTCGTTATATTTCCTTTTAGTGCGTGAGCCTATTTGTATCAAAGTGCCCCTTACGACAGATTTGTGAGCTGCCCATAGGGATTGTATAGAGATGTCATCAGACGTATTTTCCTCAAAGTAGAGGGATGCCGCCTTGCAAATAGTTTGCAAGGTGGCGGGAGTGTCCAGTAGGCCCTCGTTTAGCCTCCATTTGCCCCTTCCTCGGACTGGATATAAACTAGCAAAGGTGGCGGTGACAGGTGCGTGATCTGACCATGTCTGTAGCCCTATATCTACTGCAGCTATGTTAGATAGGGTCATTTTGTCGACTAATATTAAGTCAATGCGTGAGTATGTCGAATGTATCGGGGAGAAGTAGGTATAGTCTCTACCTGTTGGGTACGTGTTGCGCCATGTATCGTATAGGTCTGATTCAAAGATGAGGTCAGACAGTGCTTTACAGTTTTTGCGGGCTACAGTCGTCGGGCGTTTGTCGAGGCTACGTTTGATATCTACCGAGGGGTCCAGACTGCAGTTGAAGTCGCCACACAGTATGACATGCCCCTGTTTCATGTTCTCTAGTTTTTTAAGTGCTCTACGTAAAAAGTTTGTTTGGCCATCGTTAGGGGCATACAGCGTTAAGGGTTCCTACTAATATTAAAAGACGCCCTGCTACGTCTGTGTGAGAACTGCTCTTTTGAAATACCCAATCTGCATGGAACAATATGGAGACCCCTTTAGTTTTGTTGGGGGAGTATGCATGGAAGGCCTGTGGATAGCGGTTGGTGTGAATTTTAGGGGGTTTTTGAGAGCACAAGTGGGTTTCTTGCAGGCATATCACTGCCGCTCTGGATTTGTGCATGTCCCTGATCGCTAGGCTGCGTTTGTGGGGGCTGTTCAGACCTTTAACATTCATGGAGAAAACCTTAAACTCATGTTGGGCCATAGGGACGGGGATCGGTACTCTTTAGCATGCGTGTACAGTGGCTGTGCCTCGTTGTCTCGGCATAATCAATTCCAATCGGAAACTCAGCGGACTTGATGAGGTCCCTGTCTCGGTTGGGTATTAGGCGTGGAGACTGCTGGTAAATTATTGGAGGAGTCTGCACTCCAACTGTCCAAAGGAACTGTTGAAGCCGAATGTGTATGTAATGTGTTGGAAGCGGTACGGGGGGTAAACGAAATGGGAGACGGGAGGGAGGAAGGGCGGACATCGGGCAAGCCCGAGTAACTGGGGGAAAGCTGAACATATTACCTCTGCGTCCAGCAGAGCGTAGATCCGGAAACGTGTGGCGGGGGGCCACACAAACATCCGGCGTGGGGGACATGGTATAACTACCACCATGGACTGGCCCTTGGTATCTGCTGCAACCTTTCCGAACTTGGGGGGACGCACCAGTTTTGTTTATTGTGTCCAGGCAGCTTATTATAGGGTGTCGAGTGTAGTGGGAGAGGGATTGAGTGCCCAGCATGCTGGCTAAACCTGCGCCGCGGGGACCTGGTTCACTGGCGGAGTTACCAATGTGTGCCCGGTGAGCCCCGGGCTGGCGCGGGTAGCTCATCCAGCCCACTCACACCCGCAATAATTTGTGTGTCACAAGGTGAGATAGACATAGCAATATATCGTACATAAACATATATCAACAACAGTAGCATGAGGTCAGATGCAGGTGATATAGCCTCATAAGTGAAAACGGAGAGCGACCAAGGTCACCATTCATGCCACAGTAACTCATAGCAGCAATGGTGGTCCAACTACCAGTGGGCCTAGTACCCAGAAGGGGTGTGGACGGGTGCCTGGGAGTCTCGTACATATACACCCAAGATCTAACATATCTGGGTTTAATAGCCGCTGTTTACAGAGGCGATGATGGGGGCTAATGGGGTTCGTATGCTCTGAGACGACACTTCCTACCCTTATATGGATGTTGAGTGGGGCCGTGGCGTCAAGAGTTACCAGTTAAGCCTCAGAGACTTACAAGCTATGGGTGGGTGGATGGACTTGAGCGAAAGAGCCGGCTCTGGCTAAACACGTGAGCCGAACTTGGGTATCAGCTCTACTTTTTTTTTTTTTTTTAAACCATTTCTCTGTATACTACCAAATTATCATGGTGAGATTGACACAACAACATATCATTCAAAAACATATATCAACAGCATTAGCATGAGGTCAGATACAGGAGAGATAGCCTCATAGGTGACATCGGAGCATGTCCAGGATTACCAGTCATGCCACCGTAAGCCACGGTAGCAATGGTGGACCAGATTGCCAGCGGGACTAGTGCCCAGATGGGGCGTGGTCGGGTGTCTGGGTGACTCGAAATATACATCTAATAGCTAACATATCTGGGCTTAATAACGCTGTTTACAGAAGCGTTGATGGGGGCTAATGGGGTTCGTATGCTCTGAGACGACACGTCCTACTCTTATAAGGATGTTGAGTGAGGCCGTGACGTCAGGAACTACCAGCTATACCCCAGAGACTAACAAGCTATGAGTGGGTAAACGGGCTTGAGCGAGAGAACCGGCTCTGGCCAAACGTATGGGCCTAACTTATATCAGCTCTTCTTTCTCTTTTTTTTTTTTTTTTGAAACCAACATGCTATGAACTGACAAATTATAACTCTGTGCTATGCAATAACAATAGTCAGATTAGCAGACACAAATGATACTCAAGCGTCCGGCGATGAGGAGAGCTGCACCCTTCGAGATGGTCGAATAGGATCAGTTCCTATGGAGAGAAGCCACGGGGTCTCCGGCCATCCTCCACTCCGGCCGTATTTTCGAAGGAGAGGTGCGAGCCGGGAAGGCCTGTCCTTGTGCGTGGTGTAGGCCCCATTCTTTCAACTTCGCCAGGCCTACCTCCGGTTCCAAGATTGGCACAGTTCTTTCGCCATACCACACCAGCAATTTTGTCGGGTAGCCCCAACGGTAAGAGATGTTATTATTCCGGAGGGTTTTCGTCACGTCAACAAATTCCCTTCTCCTTGCCATCGCCGTCGCCGATAGGTCAGCGTAGATTTGGATGTGTTGGTACGGTTCCGGCAGACTGGAGAGCTTCCGTGCTGCGTTGAGAAGTTGCTCCTTCGCTTTGTAATAATGAAATCGGGCTATGGTGTCCCTGGGGGTATCTGCGGTGAGACGGGCCAGTCTTGGGAGTCGATGAGCGCGTCAGGAAGCGCAATAGGGAGGGTGCGGAAGAGATACAGTATATGCGGCAGTACCATCATTTTAATGGTCTGCACCCTACCCATCCAAGAGACCTCCAGTTCGTTCCATTTATCCAGCTGTGTTTGAAGCCTGGTCAGTAGTGGTAAATGGTTTTCCCGCGTGAGCCCAGCAGAGGAGGCTGTCAGGTTAATCCCCAGGTATTTTAGGGACGTTTTTCTCCAGTCAAAGGGATATGCTGCTTTCAGCTTATTTATTAGTGAGGCCGTTAGTCCCATTGGGAGCACCTGGGTTTTGTTGGAGTTGTTTTTATAGTATGAGACCTGACTGTACTGTGTTAACAAAGACAGTAATGATGGTATGGATTGTGCAGGTTGTGTGAGAAAAAGCAGAATATCATCTGCGAATAAGGTCAGTTTTTGTATGCCTGCTGGTGTGTTGAGACCCTTTATCTCGGTGTGTCGTTTGATGTGACGGATGAGAGGCTCCAAGCAAAGGATGAATAACAGGTGGGACAGTGGGCACCCCTGCCTAGTGCCATTGCTAATTGAGAACGGTTCTGATAGGAACCCTGTGTTGAAGACCCTAGCGGAAGGGGCGCTATATAGTGCCATGGTGGCCTCCATAAATGAACGCGGGAAACCCATCTTGTTGAGAGTCGCCTTTAAGTAGACCCAATTTAACCGGTCAAACGCCTTTTCGGCGTCGAGCCCTAGGACTGCTCCCTTTTGGTTACTGGATCTCGCCCAGCTAATCAAGTTCAGGCAGTGTCTGGTGTTGTCTCCGGCTTGCCTACCCGGGACAAATCCCGCTTGTTCTGCGGATACTAATTCCGTGAGAAGGGGTTTGACCCGTAAGGCCAGGAGTTTGGCAAAGAGTTTGACGTCTGCGTTAAGGAGTGAGATTGGCCTCAGATTCTCACATTTAGTGGGCGGTTTATCCGGTTTGGGAAGAGTGACAATATGTGCTTCTAACATTTCCTTTGGCATGGCTCCCTTTGCTTTAATGTCGTTAAATAGTAATGTTAGGATAGGTGTCAGGATCTGTTCTAGTTTAATATAGTAGTAATTAGAGAAGCCATCAGGACCCGGAGCCTTGTGTTTCGGGAGGGACGCGATCGCTTTGGAAACCTCATCTTCCGTGAATGGGCTGTCTAGGGCATCCCTTTGAGTTAGCGTTAATTGTGGGAGCTCGCTATCGTGGAGAAACTTGTCTATGGCTACAGGCGTGGGTTGGGCCACTTCGGGGTCATCTTTTAGGTTGTACAGTTTGGTATAGTATTTGGCTAACGCGTTTACTATGTCTGTGGGATTGTATATTTTGATGTTGTGTTGAGATTCAATGTAAGGAATCTTCGACTGAAGTCGTTGAATCTTTAATTTATTGGCCAGAAGTTTGCCTGCTTTGTTCCCTTGTATGTAGTATGTAGATTTAAGCGTTCTCATTTTTCTTTCTATAGCTTGTAGGGAGAGGACATTTAGTTCTGATTGCAGGCGGGCTATTGTTTTGGCTAATTGAGCGGAGGGCCTTTGTTTGTTCCCCTCTTCTGCCTTGGCCAGATCACGAGTCAACCGTAAAATCTCCTCGTTATATTTCCTTTTAGTGCGTGAGCCTATTTGTATCAAAGTGCCCCTTACGACAGATTTGTGAGCTGCCCATAGGGATTGTATAGAGATGTCATCAGACGTATTTTCCTCAAAGTAGAGGGATGCCGCCTTGCAAATAGTTTGCAAGGTGGCGGGAGTGTCCAGTAGGCCCTCGTTTAGCCTCCATTTGCCCCTTCCTCGGACTGGATATAAACTAGCAAAGGTGGCGGTGACAGGTGCGTGATCTGACCATGTCCGTAGCCCTATACGGACATGGTCAGATCACGCACCTGTCACCGCCACCTTTGCTAGTTTATATCCAGTCCGAGGAAGGGGCAAATGGAGGCTAAACGAGGGCCTACTGGACACTCCCGCCACCTTGCAAACTATTTGCAAGGCGGCATCCCTCTACTTTGAGGAAAATACGTCTGATGACATCTCTATACAATCCCTATGGGCAGCTCACAAATCTGCAGCTATGTAGCCCTGCAGCTATGTTAGATAGGGTCATTTTGTCGACTAATATTAAGTCAATGCGTGAGTATGTCGAATGTATCGGGGAGAAGTAGGTATAGTCTCTACCTGTTGGGTACGTGTTGCGCCATGTATCGTATAGGTCTGATTCAAAGATGAGGTCAGACAGTGCTTTACAGTATTTGCGGGCTACAGTCGTCGGGCGTTTGTCAAGGCTACGTTTGATATCTACCGAGGGGTCCAGACTGCAGTTGAAGTCGCCACACAGTATGACATGCCCCTGTTTCATGTTCTCTAGTTTTTTAAGTGCTCTACGTAAAAAGTTTGTTTGGCCATCGTTAGGGGCATACAGCGTTGCAAGGGTTAGGTTAATGCCGTTTAGGGTTCCTACTAATATTAAAAGACGCCCTGCTACGTCCGTGTGAGAACTGCTCTTTTGAAATACCCAATCTGCATGGAACAATATGGAGACCCCTTTAGTTTTGTTGGGGGAGTATGCATGGAAGGCCTGTGGATAGCGGTTGGTGTGAATTTTAGGGGGTTTTTGAGAGCACAAGTGGGTTTCTTGCAGGCATATCACTGCCGCCCTGGATTTGTGCATGTCCCTGATCGCTAGGCTGCGTTTGTGGGGGCTGTTCAGACCTTTAACATTCATGGAGAAAACCTTAAACTCATGTTGGGCCATAGGAATGGGGATCGGTACTCTTTAGCATGCGTGTACAGTGGCTGTGCCTCGTTGTCTCGGCATAATCAATTCCAATCGGAAACTCAGCGGACTTGATGAGGTCCCTGTCTCGGTTGGGTATTAGGCGTGGAGACTGCTGGTAAATTATTGGAGGAGTCTGCACTCCAACTGTCCAAAGGAACTGTTGAAGCCGAATGTGTATGTAATGTGTTGGAAGCGGTACGGGGGGTAAACGAAATGGGAGACGGGAGGGAGGAAGGGCGGACATCGGGCAAGCCCGAGTAACTGGGGGAAAGCTGAACATATTACCTCTGCGTCCAGCAGAGCGTAGATCCGGAAACGTGTGGCGGGGGGCCAAACAAACATCCGGCGTGGGGGACATGGTATAACTACCACCATGGACTGGCCCTTGGTATCTGCTGCAACCTTTCCGAACTTGGGGGGACGCACCAGTTTTGTTTATTGTGTCCAGGCAGCTTATTATAGGGTGTCGAGTGTAGTGGGAGAGGGATTGAGTGCCCAGCATGCTGGCTAAACCTGCGCCGCGGGGACCTGGTTCACTGGCGGAGTTACCAATGGGTGCCCGGTGAGCCCCGGGCTGGCGCGGGTAGCTCATCCAGCCCACTCACACCCGCAATAATTTGTGTGTCACAAGGTGAGATAGACATAGCAATATATCGTACATAAACATATATCAACAACAGTAGCATGAGGTCAGATGCAGGTGATATAGCCTCATAAGTGAAAACGGAGAGCGACCAAGGTCACCATTCATGCCACAGTAACTCATAGCAGCAATGGTGGTCCAACTACCAGTGGGCCTAGTACCCAGAAGGGGTGTGGACGGGTGCCTGGGAGTCTCGTACATATACACCCAAGATCTAACATATCTGGGTTTAATAGCCGCTGTTTACAGAGGCGATGATGGGGGCTAATGGGGTTCGTATGCTCTGAGACGACACTTCCTACCCTTATATGGATGTTGAGTGGGGCCGTGGTGTCAAGAGTTACCAGCTAAGCCTCAGAGACTTACAAGCTATGGGTGGGTGGATGGACTTGGGCGAAAGAGCCGGCTCTGGCTATACATGTGAGCCGAACTTGGGTATCAGCTCTACTTTTTTTTTTTTGTTTAAACCATTTCTCTGTATACTACCAAATTATCATGGTGAGATTGACACAACAACATATCATTCAAAAACATATATCAACAACATTAGCATGAGGTCCAATACAGGAGAGATAGCCTCATAGGTGACCTCGGAGCATGTCCAGGATTACCAGTCATGCCACCGTAAGCCACGGTAGCAATGGTGGACCAGATTGCCAGCGGGACTAGTGCCCAGATGGGGCGTGGTCGGGTGACTGGGTGACTCGGAAATATACATCTAATAGCTAACATATCTGGGCTTAATAACCGCTGTTTACAGAAGCGTTGATGGGGGCTAATGGGGTTCGTATGCTCTGAGACGACACGTCCTACTCTTATAAGGATGTTGAGTGGGGCCGTGACGTCAGGAACTACCAGTTATACCCCAGAGACTAACAAGCTATGAGTGGGTAAACGGGCTTGAGCGAGAGAACCGGCTCTGGCCAAACGTATGGGCCTAACTTATATCAGCTCTTCTTTCTCTTTTTTTTTTTTTTTTGAAACCAACATGCTATGAACTGACAAATTATAACTCTGTGCTATGCAATAACAATAGTCAGATTAGCAGACACAAATGATACTCAAGCGTCCGGCGATGAGGAGAGCTGCACCCTTCGAGATGGTCGAATAGGATCAGTTCCTATGGAGAGAAGCCACGGGGTCTCCGGCCATCCTCCACTCCGGCCGTATTTTCGAAGGAGAGGTGCGAGCCGGGAAGGCCTGTCCTTGTGCGTGGTGTAGGCCCCATTCTTTCAACTTCGCCAGGCCTACCTCCGGTTCCAAGATTGGCACAGTTCTTTCGCCATACCACACCAGCAATTTTGTCGGGTAGCCCCAACGGTAAGAGATGTTATTATTCCGGAGGGTTTTCGTCACGTCAACAAATTCCCTTCTCCTTGCCATCGTCGTCGCCGATAGGTCAGCGTAGATTTGGATGTGTTGGTACGGTTCCGGCAGACTGGAGAGCTTCCGTGCTGCGTTGAGAAGTTGCTCCTTCGCTTTGTAATAATGAAATCGGGCTATGGTGTCCCTGGGGGTATCCGCGGTGAGACGGGCCGGTCTTGGGAGTCGATGAGCGCGGTCGAACTCCCATGCGGTGACCTCGGCTTGCGGAACCAGCGTTTTACACAGGGCCACTAGGTATTGGGGTAACGCTTCATTCGAGATTGAGTCAGCTATGCCCCTGAATCTTAGGTTATTGCGGCGGGAGCGATCTTCTATGTCTGCCAATTTGTGTTTGAGAACCGCTTGTTCTTCCTCCAACCTTTGCAGTTTATCGACTACATCATTATGGGCCACGCATAGTTCTTCGGTTTTAGTTTCAAGATGGCTGGTGCGGCCACCTATATCTGCAATCTCTTTTTTCAAGTCAGAAGTAAGCTGGCGCAGATCCGATCGGAACGAGGACTGCAAGGATTGTAGCATGGTTTGTATACTTTTGTTGGTGACAGGCATATCCTCCACTGCTTGTGGGTCGCAATCAAGTTCTGTGTGGCATTCCGGTGATGGCGGGAACTCCTCGTGGCCGTCGCCATCTTGGATTTGCCGGGGCTTCTCTTTTCTGCCCTGGCGCACCGGATCGGTAAGCTTGGTCTGTTTAGAGGGGGCCATTGAGGCAGGTATAGTGGTCTCCGTTCGTTACCAGGGTCGGGCAGGTTGGGAAATCTGCTCAATTGTCGCTCAGGGCCAGTTAGGATACGGAGCGATCACAGCATGCGACTGCTCCCGTCGGTGGTCAGCCACGCCCCCTCCGCACTTGAGTGGTTTAAGGGGAAACATGTAAATGTGTTGGAATGGCCTAGTCAGAGCCTAGACCTCAATCCAACAGAAAATCTGTGGTCAGACTTAAAGATTGCTGTGCACAAGTGCAAACCATTCACCTTGAAGGAGCTGGAGCAGTTTTGCAAGGAGGAATGGGCAAAAATCCCAGTGATAAGATGTGGCAAGGTCATATAGTCTTATCCAAAGCAACTTGGAGCTGTGATTGCCGCAAAAGGTGGCTCTACAAAGTATTGACTTTAGGGAGGTGAATAGTTACGCACATTTACTTTTTTCTGTTATTATGTCCTATTTGTTTTTTGCTTCACAATAATAAAAAAAATTATGGAAATCCTCAAACAATCCATGTTAATTCCAGGTTGTGAGGCAACAAAACACAAAAAGTGCCAAGGAGGGTGAATACTTTTGCAAGGTACAGCTGGCTTACTAGAGGAGGGACCAGGGCTTGGATATTATTCATCTGAATAATGTGTCATGTGCCAGGGACCAGGGTTTGGAGAGACATCACCAGCTGCTTTGCCCTCTGTCATGTGCCAGAAATTCAGTGCTGAACTTTTTCACAGTGTTTTCTATGCATTTAGCCTCTGAACCGTGGTCAGTCTCAGAACTTGGAATTTAGAGATAGTGATAATAATGCTCATATTTAAAACACCAGATGAAAGATAGCAGTTTAGAATGTGTGTTAAGGAAGGTACAAGATAAGGAGAGAGAGATCTGATAAGGTGTGAAGTCCTAAAGAACTGAAACCTGTTGTAGTAAAAGCAAACCAAAAATATAACTATTACATAACACAGAAAATTCTATATATTTTGCTAAAAGGACACTGAAAGGTGAACATCTAAAATGATTCTCTGACAACCAGCATTATCTAGAGCCTAAAATCCGGAACCACTTTTCCTTTATGAACTGTTGGCCAAGCGTAAGAATAAACTATAACCTTAGGCCTTTCTTTTATCTAAAAATCAATTTTCTGTAAGAGTGTGTTCTATCTGAGCCTATCCTTTTCTATCTTAGACATTAAGCATCTCTTCCAATGAGTATGCATTGTAGTAAAAGAGTAGGGATAAAATAGAATTAAATAATTACGAATTAGAAATAATCGAACAGTTATGGGTCTCATTTGACTTTGAGTGTTTGTGAAAATTTTCGAAAAATTTAAATTCTGTAAATACTAGGCACTGACTGTTTAGTATAGCTGCTAAAAGGGTCATCATTTTTGCAAAG